GCTTTGGCTTCTCTGCTCAGAAATCACTCAAAACAAAAAGCTTTTCTCAATTTCTTTTTCGTGTTTTTATTATATTTCGAATATAATTGAGAGTTCTTTCATATAAAATGCGTTGTTTTTTTAGAATGGATGGAAAATCCTCATCTACAATCGATCATCGAATTGCACAAATGAGGAGTCTCGGCGCCGGAGATTCATAAAGTCGACAGAAGTGTCATTTTCCGCACTATACAACGCTACGAAGCTACGGAAACAATTGCTGATGCACCAAGAAGCGGTAGACGCCCAACTATTGTCACGAAGACAAACATTAAGCTAGTGAGGGACCAAATCCGGGTGAAGCCAAACCAGTCGGTAAGGCAAATAGCAAAGAAGATGGCGATTTCAAGCACCTCATTGCGTCGGATCCACAAAAATAAGCTCAAACTTACCGCCTACAAGAAAAACCAGGCTCAACTTTTTCGAATGCCTCTAGAAACAAGCGAGAATTGAGAGCAGATAGCAAAGAAGATGGCGATTTCAAGCACCTCATTGCGTCGGATCCACAAAAATAAGCTCAAACTTACCGCTTACAAGAAAAACCAGGATGCGCTTCAATGGAATCGACCATCACAATATCTTATGCACCGATGAAAAGAGATTTACCGTTCTAGGTGGATGGCCGGCTTGTTCAAAGTTCTCCAAACATCGAAAGTTTGAACAAAACCACTGCTGAAAACGTGGGGAGAGTTCGATGCAGCCTATTTGGTCGCCACCGTTGACGCCTTCCCGAAACGCCTGCGAGTCTGCTCAAATGCTAATGGTGGTCGATTCGAATTTGATAGTTCATTTATAATTGTTAATGTACAATATGTTATTGAGTTAAAAATTTGTCTTTTTTGCTCTTGTCTGCCTTAAAATCAGAACTTTCTCTTGTTGCGACAATTATGGTATGATCTGTATATGATCTGGTATTGCCTGCTCTGGCCTGGTGCTAGCCAAGGTCTGTAAGCCAGGACAGGTTCGGTTCCGGTCTCTTGGTTTCTGAGCTGGCTTTACTCCAAGTCGTAAAAAGTTCCTGGATTTGACAGAAACCAGATGTCACCCTGGTTTCAGGCTGACCTGAGCTGATCTGAACTGGCGATCCAAGCATCACAGTAAAACTTGAAGAGTCTGTCGGACTAGACCCAAAAAACTTTTTTAGGTTTGCTCAGCGTTTATCGATTCTCCGTGTGACAAATTCGATCTCCACAATGTCTATCACTTAGCCCAATTAGATTCTTTTCAATCAATATGGACAGCTATGGCTATAATCAGTTTTCTCTTGGTCGCCGGTGCACTTGGCATAGCAGTTTACAGTCTGTATCAGACATTCTTCAAACCGGCAAAAAAATCGATGAGTCAACGGACGAAAGAAATTCAGCGTTTCCTAACCCGGATGACTATTTTACAGGTAACAGTAAATCAAATTATATTCTTTCAAATATTTAGGGAACTGCCAGCATTTCGTGTTTGACTTTCCCGTACGGTTGCGTTGTTGTATCAATGGCGAATATGTTTGAAAATGATCTGCTTGTCAGTTTTATTGATATTGGTCAGTTACTTTGAATTATTTATGTGATCTCAAGCATTTATACATAAGTTTGATACCAAGGCTGCTTACTGGATTACTACCAGATCTTTAGGTATTACCTAGTTTAGTTTGAGTCTATTCTTGACTCGTCCTTGATCAACTAAAGATAAGTGACTGTCGGGATGTCGGTGTTCTTGATTACCACGTCTCTCTTTTCGAATTTACAATAGTTTAGCATGATTACGTGACTGATCTAGTCATCTTCTAACTTCAATTAGTGACTTCTAAGTTCTAAGTTCTAACTTCAAACTTCTTCTAACTATCTTCTAACTTCTGTAGTCAACCAAAGCGCCAATCTTTTAGTCTCCGGAATGGCCACATTCCTGGCAAGTTTTCACGCATCATTCACCAGTCTTATCACAATTTTTGTCTCCAAAACCTATCGCCAAATAATCATCGAGTGGATTAGAAGATTATTTGTTGTCTCTCGTGTAAATCTGTTTAAGAATGGCCACTCTATAACGCAAGTCTCTGCTACTAAATCTGCTGCCAAATAATTCAGCAATGGTTGTGTCAAACCTGTAATAAAAGAGTTTTCTAACAATTTTGTGCGTGCAAGATTGCAATTCTGTAAAGATGTTTATCAAAAGAAACACAAACTAACCAAATAAAGCAAAGAAAGTAACAGAAATTGAGTGATGCAAGAAAAACGTGATTGAGAAGTTGATTCAAGATAAGTGACTTTCGGGATATCGGTCTCGTTTTTGGCAATTTTCGTTATATGAATCCTCAACAAACATCCCTCTTGATTGTCAATGCTTGGCCCATCATCGAGTGTCCACTTGACCTGATTTTAGTCAAGTATTTCAGATACCGTAATTATTCCAATAAAAGCATCCTCCCATAATGACGTGGTATTGCCGCGTAGTCTAACTTTACTTTCGCTGCTGTTCGCGCTGCTTTATGCTACAAGGTGAGCTTGGGTGTCAAAGTGTAGAGCTATATATTGGGTTGGGGGAGAATGAGTCGGCGCCGAAAATGAAAGAAATTTCTAAAACTTATAGCAGACTTTGTCAAATGATATGCGTTTGATATCCGTAGAAGGGTAACTAATTCTCTACAAAATAATATTTAAAAGGGAACTCAAACAGCGCCTCAACTCAACAAAGGATCACTTTTTCACAAAATCGATAAACTGTCATCTAGAGTAAACGGTTGGAGGGATCTTCCTGAAAATTTGGTAACTTATGTAATTGAGTGTGCTCTATCTTTTTTATATAAACACCAAAGGAGGTTTATGTGGAAGAAACTGTTCAAGCAATGAGTCGGACTTTTTGTCATTTTGATTAGCTGTGTTTGGGAATCCATAAAATCCCAAAAAAGAAAAGCTTTGTGGAATCTCTCAAAAGCCATTTTGTAAAGAAATAGTGGACCATTTTGATGAAACAAAACGTGTATTTAAAGAAGGTTTTATGGGGGCAAAAAGTTTCTTTAAATTTCGGCGCCGACTCATTCTCCCCAATCCAATAGAAGTATTAGGTTGTAAACTAAGCTTGACCCTTTCCCCTTTCTTAAATTGCTAATATCTCAGCGTAGAATTAATATATTTGAATGAGATTTTAAAAAGATTATTCTCAAAAACTTACAAGCTTACTGCCAAAATTATAAAGTTATTCAGCGATTAGCAACCAAGTTATAACAAAAAAAACTCTGCTTCTGCCTCTGCCAAGTTAATCCTTTATTATACAGCAATCAGCTACAAAAGCTCGAAGAAGAAATGAAGAAAAAACGACTTCAATTGAAAAGTGTCATCCTTCTTCACAACAATGCCCGCTGACATACGGCAAAACTCACTCGCGCCACAATTCACAGCTTGGGCTGGGAATTCTTACCACACCCTCAATATTCTCCAAATCTTGCCCCATCGGATTATCATCTTTTCCGATCAATGCAAAATTCCCTAGATAGGGAGCATTTTCAAAACGAAGACGACCTCAAAAAGTGGCTCCAAAACTATTTCGACTCGAAGCAAAGCCAAAAATTTTCTACAAGAGAGGAATTCGCCAACTTCCAACAAAATGAGCGAAAGTTATTCAAAATAACGGAAACTATTTCGAGTAAACAGCTTGATTTGGTTGTGAATAAATTTTTAAACAAAAATGTTACCAAGATCAATCTAATCTAATATTAGATCTAATATTAGATTAGATAGGTCAATCTAATATTAGAATATTTACGGTAATTTGAGTGTTTTCTTGATTCAGCTTATTAGGTTAATGGCTCCGTACTAGGTTTCAAATAAACCAATAAGCGAGTTTGACTCTTGCTTATCTTAAACTTTTAACCTGAACTAACGAATAGTTTCATTAAAAGTAGCAGGCATAGCTTATGATAGCTTAGAATACTTTGCTCAGAATAACGTTTAGACTAAAATGATCTGAAATATTCATTCAGTATTCAAAGCAAATTACCCAAATCCTTGGAAAACCAGAGACACTGTGGTTAAAGGGCTGCGGTTTTTCGTGATTCCAACTGACACTGAAATTTAACGTAAGATACAAGTTCACTTCTTTATTCGGTTTCTAAAATTTTCAATTTACCTCTCAATAATGTTCATGTAAATGTCTTGAAAGCCGACGTAAACATTCCCGCTCAATACCTCAACAAATTCGATCGTAACAGTAATGGGGAAACTGTCTGAAAAACGAATTCAATGAATCGTACAACACAAAGACTTACAACAATAAATCAAATGATCCATAAAATAGCTGGAGTCAAGCAGCTCGTTGAATTGGTGAAAACCCTGGGTGACAAGAGCGAGAGTACCTTCACAAACCTCTTGCTGTCTTTCGGCTGTAACATTGCAAAGATGGCTTTAATTTAAAACTTTCAAACGCTACTCTTTTTCCAAAAAGCCGATGACGTGACAATGCTTGGCGAGCAGCCGGGCGGTATATAAACACTATAAAAGGAGGCATCCAACAATTGTGGAATAAAAACGTCTTCATCTCTGAAATGAAGCAAAGTTATCTGGTCAGAAACTCACTAAAAGCTGATCCAAGTGATTTAACACATTCGCGATAATACGGACCACCGGTAGGCACTTTTTTAAAGCCAATTGAGCTGAAAATTTTCACCAGAGGTTTTCAGGGTCAAACGGTCAAACAAACGTAAACTACAAACGCTTCTAACTTGCTTCAAATCTCCCGGATTAACATGATCTATACCTCAAAAAATAGAGAATCTCGAGAGCTTTCGAATGAACTAAAGCCCACTCAAAAATATCAATGCTAAAGAAGGCTACAGTGGTTTTTAGCCTGACTCGATAGCTCGACTACGCGCGAGTACGATCTGTTTCGCTACAAACCACTGTAGCTTTCTTTAGCATTGATATTTTTGAGTGTGCTTTAGTTCATTCGAAAGCTCTCGAGATTCTCTATTTTTTGAGGTATAGATCATGTTAATCCGGCAGATTTGAAGCAAGTTAGAAGCGTTTGTAGTTTACGTTTGTAGTTTGCAGTGCCCATGTCTTCAGATTCTCTATCCCAGAAGGGCTGCGTTACAAATTAACATAGATAGCTGTCTTACAACGGCAAAGACAAAAATGGCTTTGTCGTGAAAATGTTAATGTGTTCAAATTAACTTTCTTGACTTTACTTTGCACATCTTATTTTCAGAGTTCATTGTTTGTTTTACCTAAAACGAAGCAAGTGTCTTCTTGAAGATTTCTGATATGGTGGGGTTCCAATAAGAAAATCGTATTCACAACTTTTTCCCACGATCCTAAAACAAGAAAAGTTTAGAGCTTGCAGGCTAACAGATTAATGTAAGAAAGGTAAGCACGCTTTTCGACATTCTGTACTAAGAGAAAAGTTCTGAAACTTTGCCATTAATGGGATTTTATAAGAGTGGAAAACGAGACGACAAAGATTTTATCGTATCTTTCCCCCCAAAAAAGAATCCCAAATCACTGACCGAGCGAAATTTTTCAAGAGCATTATCAGAAGGAGTATTGTCAACCCATAAAATGAATGCCATCCACAGTCCTTTCTCTTGCTCCTCAATCCTTAGTGAGTCCGCGGCAGCAAGCTTTCCTTTGTAGCGCAAAAATTGATAGTCCGTTGCATGCATTTTGAAATTTAATTTATCTAAATTAAAGGATCTTCAATTAGTTGTGCTTTAACTAAACCAGCTGGGTGTTTTGGGGTAACGCATAGTTTGAACGCTCGAGTTAAAGAGCCTCTTTCCCTCCCTCCTGCTCCCCTCCGAGCCCTCTGTAACAATACTGAGATCTATCTCTTAATCCTTCAAAGCAATGTCGCGACCAACCCTGATATCCTCCGAAGCACCACCGACATCTATACTCGGACGCTCGGCGCAACTAATGTCGCGCCAAAAGTAAAAAAAGTTTGGAGCGGAAGGGAATCGAACCCAGCACCCTCTTGGGGCGGTCATTTTGGAGAAGGGACGCTCACAAAAGATCTTCTATCAATTAATTGAATAATTTAATGGGAAAGGGAAATTTCTGGCAAAAATGCAAATTTACCACTTTTGCATCCATGGCGCAGCGGCCACACAGGTAGCGTCCAGATAGCGCGACCGTCTCTCGCCTACACAACCCGAGTTTGATCCCCGTAGGTACCCCGATTTTTGCTTTAAAAAATCTAGGAGGTGAGATGCACAACTAAAACAAATCCCTTACCCAACAAAGAAAAAAGCTTATTTAGATCGGCTCGCTGGGGTCTGAGATTTTGGCCGTGCGGACGGACGGACGGACACTTGCCTTTTATATATAGTAGATTGATTATATTTCTTGGTGTAAAAAGAAAGAAAGCAAGAAAGATTGCATCGAGCCGGGATCGAACCCGAGATCAACCGAACCCAACGTTGCTCAACTTGGCAGATCGGACACCGGGACGCACTGCCACTCGGTCACGCGTTATCATGCATTCTTTTATTTAGCTTTTTAGGAAAGACGATTAAATTATGCATCAAATATTATTAGATTTTATGAAACTACGTAAGAAGTTGGGTTTATAATGTCAAACTTTCAGCTCGATCGGCTCAGCCGTTTTTCTAAAATCGTATAACAGACGGACACGCCCAGAAATACTATCTCTCTAATAATAAGTCAGGATTATATAGTAAGCTAGAGTTGAAAGGCTTGTATCCAAGTGTTTTAGAAAACCTTTTTTCAATATGAACTCCTACCATCAATCCACTTATCAACGCGAAATGCAAAGAAACTATTTTCTACGTCGAATTCATATCCAAAAACCATAATTGTTAGCGGATTTGCGACAACGAATTGACATTCTTGACGTATACGTTGGGATCTTGCGTTTCTACTAAATATTTACTTCATTTAACTTCTGCTTATTCTATTTCTGGTTCTTTTTGGTTGACCTACCTGTAAGTGCAATTCTCTAAAGTTTGCGTTTTTCCATTTACTAGCACTTGCGTTTGATTTTCGCATTCGGTTTTGAGCTAAAAGCAATGATTGATTGAAAATTGCAGAACGCTTAAAGAGCTTAAACTTTAGAAATTCTTACATCAATTAGATTTTCACAGTATTGTAAAAAGTCGACCACAAAGTTGCAATTTTGGCATTCGGCATTGATGCAAACTGGCGCGTAAGAGACTGAAAAAAAAGCATTTTCAGTGAAGAAATGAAAAGCTTGCTAGGAAACTGTTACTGTAAATAAATTACTGGAGTTAAAAAGTGTAATTCCTGCAATGATAAACACGGGATCAGTCTCTCTCAATGTAATCGTGCTCTCGTTAAAATAATGAATCTTTTCGCCTATAATATCGGTGGCAGAAAATGTGACGATGAATCCTTGTTGTTCTCCCGAGTTTTTGGGACACCAACTGAGCTAAAGTTCTTTGTTTGGATTGGCTTGAGTTACATAAAATAAATTGGCTCTTCCAGCCTCAGGCAAAGGCATTTTGCTCCGGTTAAACTTCTATCTAAACACAGTTTGCTATTAGGTTGATGAAAGTGAAAAGACTTATTCATTAATTCACCAAACTACCGTAAATGCTGTATTAGAGCGATCGGTTGCTCTATTTTTCAATACCATTTTAGAAGCTCGCTTTATTTGAAGGGGTCATTTTATTTTTCATAGTTCCTAACTTGAAAGAACCATGTCGGATCATAAAAATAGTATTTCTATTAAAGAAAATCTCTCATAGAACCTATTGAATATTAAAAAAACCAAAATAAATAACAATTATGAAAAGTAACAATTAGTCAGCAAGATCAAGAGGAATATCAAAGTAAAGAAGATTAAAATCATCGCTTGTATCGTCGACTTCTTCAACGTTTGTCTCGACCTTTGTGTTCAATTCTCCCAAAAGATCGACCATTTCTTCCAGATGAGCAATCTTTAACTTTTCATAACTTAAAACAATGACGGATCAACCCGTTGGAATGACTCCATCCAACGAATCCAACGAATCCAACGAATCCAACGAATGGAATGACGTTGGAAGGCCATTTCTTGATCCAGACGAGCATTCTTCAAAAGAAATCTGCGAGTCACCCATTTCTTTTTCATCTCGTTGAGATCGAACCCGTTCGGCAATTGATTGGTCAACTTCGCCCCCAACAAGTGTCTTCCGCCGCCATTGAGCCGTTGAGGTCACTGAGTTGATTCGTTTGTTACTTCCAGTCGTAAATTGATGGTCGTGTCACTCTGAACTTCTTTATAATAACAATAATAATAACAATAATAATAATAACAATAATAATAACAATAATAACAATAATAATCACAATAAGAATAACAATAATAATAACAATAATAACAATAATAATCACAATAAGAATAACAATAATAATAACAATAAGAATAACAATAAGAATAACAATAAGAATAACAATAAGAACAACAACAATAATAATAATAATAACAATAATAATAATAATAATCATAATGCCTTCCAGAAAAGGAGAAATAAAAAATTTGCGAAAGAAGTGAGTCGCTCTAATACAGCATTTGTGGTAATAAAATTTAGCGCGCAGTGAATAAACCAACCAAAATGCAAGAACCCATCAACAGGAAACTGTGATTGTAAATGTCGGCAGTAAAACTGAAAGATTTTCTGAGAGCAAAAAGTTTACACTAACATTTGATCAGGTGGCGGATAAAGGCAGAGTGAGATCGTGGTTGGCTCATGCTCGAAAACCCTTCCACCAGTAATGTTCAAATCGCCGCCTTCTAGTGAAACAATGAGCACTTTGTTGTAGGTAAACTCAAAGTTGTACTGAAAACATTTGAACGAACTTCTGCGCTTTCCATTTTTTCCTTTCGCTTTCCATTTTTCCAAAGCTTCAAAATTGCCGAAGTGTGCGAAACGATGAAATCATGACATTTATCGAATTTGGGTGACTCGTCGAATTTCCATCCATAACCAAAGCTGTTCACCATGTAGCTAGCATCATTTAGACTAACTTCGTCATCTAATATCAGAAGATCTGTTCAAAAAAGTGATGAAAATTGAAATTCGAGTAATTCAACCTTCTTCAAACGATGAATGGATCAAACAATATGAGCATTTTGGGTCCGAGGCAATTATTGAAGCGACTTTTGCGTGAACGCGCACATTTGATAAAAAACTTAAAAATCTATCTTGACTTTATCTTAGAGTCGGGTCAAATTTTAGTTTTATAAAGTTTGTCTTAAAGCCAAACATGTGCTGCTCCTAAAGTTCCAGATTAGATCCGAATCTGAAGCACAGAACATGGCTGTTCTTGACTCAGATCTGACCGGTCTGATGATCTGATGATTTACTTAAAAAACTAGAACCTTTACCAAGCAGTAGAAAATTCTATCATGGAAAAATTTCCAAGCCAAACCCAAGCCAAAAATTTCCAAGCCAAACCTAATTCCACCTTCGTTTTCTCAGCCGTCTCTTGGTCGATTGTTCTGAAATTTTGTTTACAAACAGAAATTCGCATTCTCTGCATGTAGACAAAATTTCAGAGCAATCGGCCAAGAGATGGCTGAGAAAATGAAGGTGGAATTAGGTTCGGCTTGGAATTTTCCGATCTCTACCAGGCAGTGTCTGGTCTCGATTTCAGGTCTATCTGATGTTCAATTGCACATTCATACCCAAATTTGATGTATTTTTTACTGAAAAATCTATTGTTTCATGGAAAAAAAGAGAAGTTAGTTAAAAGAAAATGAAGAAATATACCTCGATTTTCTTCAACAGAGTCAATGGTTATTAGTAAGTCACAGCTTGATGGAATCGAAAGGCTATAGAAGATTGACTCAAGCTGATTAGCAATCCAAGTATCAGGATCTCTAAAAACATTGTAGTTCTAAAAAAGTCGATAGTTTTTCTAGAATTGTTTCTATAGCTGTTAGCCTCTCGAATTCCTTTACTCACTTATAAACGATGAGAACCCTGTCCGCATAATCTTCTCCTTTAGCCGGTGGAAGGCCACTCAAAAACTCAAATGAACAATCGATAGTGCTCTGAATTTGATTGATTTGATTGATAATAGTCATTAAAAGCTAACCCGACTTTGAAGCCATTTAAAAATAGAAAAATAGCCAGCCGGCATTGCCATAAGTACCCATATTTTCTGATCGTTGGAAACGAGAATATTGTGAATTCCAGCGTTGTCTTGCAAATCGAGAGTGACAAGATGGAAATCACTTGCTGAAAGGCGAATTAGTTGTTTGACAGATTGGGATTTCAATTCAATCTCAAGTCTACATAGAACTAAGCTTGACTTGTCGTTGTTAGACTTGTTGACTTGTTGTTGACTCTAATAGGTTTTAAAATCCCTTGCTTTTGCGTACCTTTACACTTTTAGGTCAAAGCCGTTAAGTAACGGATTGTTAGGTGAAACTTTTAGTATGAAATATGAGAATTAGGGAGTTGATCAAAATAGCGCCATGTAAACAGCGCCACAGCCAAAATAGCTCCTCCGCCACTAAGTTTCTATGTTTTTCTTATTCTTATTGGATGCAGAACAAAATTTTCTACATTTTGCATACTTTGGGATCACTTAAAACAGAATTAGTCATATAATTATAATTATAATTACAGAGAAAAGCTCAGTTAACCTCTTTTTGTGCCCCTTCTCGTTTTTTGGCATTTTCTCATCCCAGATTTGTTCTATTCAGCAGATAGCTAATCTTTTCTACATTCAATAAAAATAAGAAACACAAATAAATTTAACCGCAAACGCATTATTTTGGCCGGCGCTGTTTGTACACGGCGCTGTTTTGTCCAGCTCCCGAGAATTAAGTACAATTGTGAAAATGAAAATGGTAATGGTGTGATAATGATAATGGAGTATAATGATAATGGAAAGCCTACCTTCTTCCATCCAAATTGGTGCCCGAATTGAGATTGAACATCTCTTTTGACAGTTATCGGGATCCGAGATTAATGGATCCCAATAAATCTGCAACGGTCCTACAAATGAGGACACACAAGTCTCCTCGTTTGTTGTAAGATTCGTAGCGTTGGGTTGAAGATTGCTTGAATAATATACCGTAAATACTGTAATAGTACCCCACTCCCATCGTACAGTCGCGTAGCCGCAAAAGTTTTTTAGTATTTCATTTTTTTCAAAGCGCCCGTACTCTCAAAAAATGTGTCTTTGGTATCAAAAAATAGCCCTGAATTTCAGCTATTTTTTGATATCTAAGCGCGCGCATTGTAGCATAAACCAGTGCCGAGAAAAACTCGTTCAAAGCTAGACTACGCAACACTCCGCACCGTCATTATGGGGGTGGGGTACTATTACAGTATTTACGGTAGGTAAATGATGTTCTTTCGATTGACAAAACTATTTGCCTCACAATCAGTTGATTTTGAACATTTTGTGAATGAATTAACCGATTTCTTTATTCACCTAATGTCCTTTTCAGTGCACGTAAAAGTTGTCAAGTTGAGAATTTGTTCATTCACTACAATTGGAATCTTGTTCACTCCTTTTTGCGATTCGTTCTGAAGATTTATTGAAGCTTTGTTTTTTAGCAAATGGCAATTGGCAAATTTTAATCATGCACCGTTTTCGAATAAATTCTTGTTAAACGAAATTCGAGCAAAGCTCATTTTGTGGAAATATCGATGCAAAGTGCTGATTTGTTTTCTGAATTGAGAACTGTAGAGAAAAAGCTAAGAGATTTTTTGCTTACCTAACTTGACAACATTGAATGAATGAATTGTGAAAATGGGATAAGATTCATTCAGAGTGTAGAGCTGAGAGCAGTACTTTGTGTCCATTTTTGTGACCAAAATTGTAAAGAAAGACACGAAGATCCATGAAATTAGCATACCAATTGTTAGGTAAAACATCTATTTCCCAACCTTAATCGTTGAAATATCGTTGAACAAGCCAACAGTTCTGTCTGCGAGATTTAATCCCTAAAAGTTCGGCATTTAATTCGCCATCTTTGTTTGATAAAATGAAAAATGGAGAGAAAATTCTTTTTCAATAGAAAACTGTTCAAAACATACTTGATAAAGTTTATTTTACAACTAGCAATTCTAACTAAAACAATAGATAGAAAGCTCAAGAAACAGCCATGCAAAAGGTTCCATCATTCTCAAAGATTTGTTGTTGAATGTTTTGTGAAATCGTTGTCATCAAGTTGTTTTGATTGTTCGTTGAAAAAGAACACGATGAGCCACCGTTTATTGTCTGGAATTGGTTTAAAAGCAATACCTGTAGAACTTGCAGCTCGATCCAACATTCTAGCAATTTCCAAAATCGAGTGGTACGCCCGATTTCAAAAAGTTTGCATTATCAGCTTGATCTTTGATACTGTTATTGAATCTTTCAAGTATTTAGTGAAAGATTACTTTGGAACTGAAGTGAGATATTGGGTTGGTGAATTGAAAACTACCGGACTTTGAACTAAAATTTATTCAACATAAAACCATGAATTCATTCGAAATAATTTTCATTATTATTGAC